GTGTGTGTGTGTGTGTGTGTGTGTGTGTGTGTGTGTGTGTGTGTGTGTGTGTGTCCAGCCCAGCAGAAAAGGATGACCCTTTAAACTGAAGGAATTGTCCTTCAGACAGGCGTCAGTGAACGTGGCAGAAAGTGCACCTCAAAAGGAAACTTTTGCAAAAGAACCCAGACCAGTGTGGAAAACCTGATGGTCTGAAAAAATCCAAATGTGAGCAGAAATATTCACCAGTTTCTGCTGATGGCGGCTCGATGGTCGGCGTTATGAGTTTCTCTTTATTTATTGTTTTCTGTTTTGTGAAACTGGATCCTGCTTTATAAAGTGATGCTGAAACAACAGAGAAGCCTCAGGTGCTTTTGTGTGAAATTCTAATCTGTCACCCACACATACACACACACTCGGCTGGCCACACAATCAACAGTAACGCCAAAGCTGCCAGAAGTGTGGGTGAAAGCTAATGGACAGAAAGCGTAAATGGAAACATTTGTCAAGCCTGTGAGGTTAGGCGAGGATTTTTACGACGCTTTTGCTTACATTTGAGAGTGTAACACAGTAGTCCTCTCTTTTCTCCACTGTTCTGTTAAACAGCGCACAGTATTTATTTTTGATTGTTTAATTTTGAAGGATTTCAACGAATCTTATACCGTTGGAAATGCTGCTTGTTTCCCCTTAAATGGAGCCACATTTGTTGGGAAAATGCATTTGTGGTGTGGAGCAGCAGAGCTGAGTTTGTGGGTTGCACCCAAAAAAAAAAAACTTGCCAAAATCTCCCTGCCAATGCCAAAGGGCTTACTCTGCTATCAACTTTTGATTTCAGCTTACCTCAATGCCTGATTGGCACCTGAGTGTCAGAATCTATGAGCATAACTCTTGCTACAATGATCAGCTTTGTCTGCTCCAAACAAGCCTCATTTGATTAATTTAGATAAGGCTCAGGCTGATGGACAACCTCGAGCTGCTTTTCTGCAAAACTAAATTTAAACATTACAGTATCTGTAGTGAGTCCTACTATCTCTAACTTGAAGACCAAGTTTCATATAAAGGTGGATGCCAGAGAAAGAAAATCCCATCTCTCTACAGTCTGGGACCAGGGTCGGACTTAGCCAATTTGGCACCCTAGGCAAGATTTCAGTTGGTGCCCCTTGTGCAATTTTCTATATCTCACTGCCAATTTACATACATTCACACCAATTTAAATAGTTGTAACACATGTATCAACAAACTCAAGCAAAAGTCATGTAGTAACAACGCAGGCTGAGAAACCCACAGGAAAATTTACCTTCGTAAACTTGAGCACTGATTATTCTACAGATTAAATCTTAAATATTCGTACAAGAATTTATACAATCTTTTGTCCCCCATTTGTGGTGCCTTCTAGATGAACAGCGCCCCTAGCGTTTGCCTATACTGCCTATGTCACAGATCTTCCAAAATGACAATGGGCTCCCACAGCAGTGTGTGACCAGCAACAAGAGGAGGAGGTGCCAGGCTTTTTTGTGGCTGTGTTTGGTTCTTCCACATGCTACTGAGACCTCTGTTTGTAAATGGATAAATTGCTAAATTTGTTTCGTTGCTTCAGACTTCAAGCATCTAATCCAAATAAACAACAGCAAACATGAGTCAGTGGCGGAATACGCTGCTTGGCAGAGACGGTTTGGTAAGTTTTTCATGGTTGCGACACACATTCTCATCTCTGCAGCATTTTCAAACCCATGTTTAAGGGGAAAACAGGCTTTTCAACAATATAAAATTTGTTACCAAGAAGCACAAACAATCAACCAAATACCATTTTGTTCTGACAATTTAGATGAAAGTGGCTAAATTGTTAAAGTTGTGAGCACAGTGATGACAGAAGTTAAAGAGATGAGTGAGGAAAATGGGGGCTTCTTGCATTAGTTTTCATATTGATATTTGTCTAATATCATGTTTCGAACTCCAGAATTACTTTAGCAAAAGTTGAATATTTGAAGACAGTGAACTCAGATTTTTATGCGACATTTTGGTTTTCCTTCTCAGAAAACGACAGAAACAGATTTCCAAAGTCAAAGCTTGTACAGCAACAGGTCGGAAGGCTAAGTGTATTAACAAAAACCAAAACCAGCTTTTTTTGGGAACTAACAATGTCAGCTGCACTCTGAGTTTCCCAGGAGGAAAATCTGTCTCCGTTGTGGAACTCTGCCTTTCCTCTCAAAAGCATATCTGTTTTTGTCTAACAGGGAAGTTAAACATGTCTGAGCGTTCCACACAGACACACATTCTCAACTGATCAAATAAATAAATAAAAAACCTAGCACATTCAGAATAAATGGGAGCTTTCATGAATTTTTCAGAACGGCTGATTATTCCGCAAGAGGGTGGAATTTAATCAACTGCTCTATCACGTTTCTGACACAGAGTTGTTGTGTTATTTTTTTCCCCCTCCCTCTCTTACGGCCTTGTGTATGGAGATTTATCTGTGCGCTGTAGGAGAAACGCTCTTCTGCGCTGACCTTGGCTCGGCTGTTTTCTTTTGGTTTGATCCACAAAGAAAACAGCTGGCAGTTGCATTCTGGATACCGGCGGCCTTGACAATGAGCTGGCTGTGCGATGTTGTCAGAGAAGCTCCGGCTCGTTTGGAAAACGTCGGAAACGTTTGGAATACGGTTATCAGTAGCTAGAAAAACAGACTCCGCGGAAATATTATTCATCATGCGGTGACTGTTACTGGCTGCAGGAAGCCTTTAAGGTTTTAAGAGCCGTTTGAAGACTGTAAATGTTTTGGATGAGGTGATGTACAACAGAAATGTACATAAACAGTTTAATATAATAATCTTCATTTACTCAATATTCACATTTTTAGTGTTTTGTTAGCACACAGGACTGTGCAAAAGTTTAAATCACACTTTTTAAGAGAATTTTGCTTCCAAAAGACTTTCTTCTAATCGTCAGTATTTTTTCTTCTTAATTTTTATATTAGGAGGAAGGATACTGGAAGAAATGAAAAGACATGAAGACCACTTTAAAAGATTAAAGAAAAACTGGTGATGTAAATGAGTGGTGACTCAGACTTTTTACTGTCATTTAGTTCTAACATGTAAGCTTTGTGTCACATCTCCATGAAAATTAGTTTGACAATTTAATATTGCAAAATATTGCATCATCCCAGAACACAGTAACCTAACAAGATTTAGAATAAAAAAAAACAGTATAGTTGTCTCTCTGCCTAACAAGAGTATGTTTACTCTTTAAAATCAGTTGTTAAATGTAAACAGTGCTGTGTACAACAGATTTTACTCATTTATAATACAAATAATTAGGAAGCAAACCAGAAGTGTAAGCAGGTCGAAAAGGTGATTACCGAGTGAGAGCAGCTGGAGTTAATGGGCAGATTAAGAACAGGTGTGAACAATAAGCTGACTGATTAGGCTAACAAAACAAGCTAGACACAATTTCAAAATAAAACAAGAAAAATCATGTCTAAATAACAGTCAGTACAATAATGTATAAATTCATACTACAAAAATCCTGCTTGTTTTGTGATTAAATAGATTATAAATCTACTGACACACGTCACGGTTTGAAGAGTTAGTTTCCTGGAATGCAGACTGACATGAGGAGCTTGAGTTAAAAAAATAAAATAAAATAAAAACTTTATCATTATTAACAAATCAAAAGTCTGACGTAGCAGCAACAAGAAAATATAACACTCAAGGAGACACTGAAGAAATCCAGACATGGCATGAAGCACACAATGCTAGACTGACTGCAAGGTTAAAACAGAAGGACTTTCTAGAAAGGGACTGATGAGGGAAGTGGAAACACCTGAGCACAATGACAACTGGGAACAAGTGAGAGTGGGTGGGCCTGGAGCTGGGGATCTTTTTTTTCTGGATGACTCTCACTATTTGCTCTTTAGTTCACGTTTTACGTGAAAAAAAGAAAAGTAAACAGTCTTGTATGCTTCATCTTGAGCATGCACAAAGACAAATACCTCATTTGTCAAACATACTTGGGCAAACAAACAGATCCTGATAATAACCTTATGTTCTTCAGATGCTGTGATTTTCTCAGACTTCCTCTCTGTTTGTGTTGATGAAGAGGAGGGAGGAAAAAAAGGGGGCTCTGGTTGAAGAGTGGCCATAACCACTTGTAGCCTAAAGGTTAAACACAGGCCTTCAGGGAGTCCCATTACTGCACACTGCACTGATGGGAACTCTGCAAACATTCATTCTGGGAGCCCAGCAGGCTCCTCTGTTTATTCCCAGTTTAGTGCCGTGCCATGATGTGGGAAACGACCGTGGACGTGGAACTCAGCCAGAACGCTGTGTTTGCTCCAGTGTTTGGCTTTTAACCCGAGCGAAACACGCACCGAGTACGTCACGAGGAGCACTTTGGAGACGTTGTTGGATATTTTGTTGACACGCGGGACTGACGTATCTCTACAACACCATGCGGAGTTTATTTACGCATTCTCATATGTGCTCGTATGAGGATTAGAAATTTGTCTTTTCATTAATCATGGCTTAACTCACACTGTTCTTCCTGTTTGCTGTTTGTTGTTATTAGTTTAACATTACTGTTCCTGAAGCTATGAGATCACTCCCAGCAAATCAGGCTGCTGTTGCTAGTGGTTGTAAACATATGCATCATTTCTCACGTGAGTAGTTGTGATCACTAAACGAACCCCCAATGGATCTAAGTTTAGCAGCCCACCCCTCCCCCCTCCAAGGTGATTTGATATCTTTAAGCATTCCAGGTTGTGCCCTTTACTCCGCTAATGGTGCTACCGGTCCTTAAAGACATTCCTTCTGTCTCTCTCTGATCACAGGCGACTAATTGCCTCGTTTCAACCAGTTTTGATGCCTTCTAATGTTAAAACACCAAAGCGTTCTTCATTAGGGGGAGATTTGCAGGAACATTTGTCATTCTTATAAACGGTTTAGACATGTTTTAACTGGCTGAAATGTGGACACAAACAGCCGTGTGAGTTACAGATGAAGCATCTGTGCAGCAGAGGATGACAGGAAGGACGTGAGATGCTGGTATTTATTCATTTCGTTTCACGCTTTGCTAAAATTCGTAACTAGAGCAAGAAGAGGTTGTTGTTGTTTACGTTTGTTCTCCCCCATAAACACTGCTCTCTTGAATCTGGAATTTTAAGGTCACAAAATACTTTCAAGTCATGCGGGTAGATGAAGTTGATGAGAATTAGCTGGCAGTTTGATTTGAACTTTTTTTTTTTGCAGTTGCTGTTCACTCATGTTCTTCACAGCAGGAGGTGTGCTCTAAGAGGAGAAGGAGGGGAGGCAGAGGGAGCATCTGTTCTGAGCACAGAAAAAGACAGGTCAGAGATTTGCTCAGAGGTTGTTCATAAGATTAATTTTCTTTAATGAATCTAAACAAAATAGAGAATGTAATTATTGTACTAAAGTACTTGTTTATTATTAGTACTTCTTTTTTTGTTGTTGTTGTTCTGCTCTTTGTAAAGTAACATTGAATGACTGGCAAGCTGGAGGCTTGTCACTGAACAGCAAATGTTGGAAGACTAGTTGGTGGAAAAGAAAAATCCCTAAAACTGTGGGAAGACTGCAAGAAAATATGTGAATTTTTTTGGTTGCAGTTTCAATGAASTCTGTGCTCACAGTTTGGGTTGTCACTTTCTGAAAATCACAGATTATTGTTGTGTGCATTGCAATACTGTTATTCTTGGCTGCACACATTAATTTGTTGCCCACCTTGTCCTCATCTTGACAACTGGTCCCACATTTATGGTCAGCTAGAACACTTTAAGAATGATGGGAGATATTGCAACCAGTTTTCAATTATTATTATTCATCAAATAGTTTTTTTTTTAGATCTGGACGTTTGCCTCAGATGTTTTCTGTCAGAGGAGGGCTCTGTGCTGAAATTACTACACACCACCAGCTACTCACAGCCCAGTGAGATGCCACCTAACACCAGCAGGTTATTATTAGCCTTGGTAGCAATAAGTTATATTTTACACCACTGTACAGTAGCTTGTGGCAGACATTTACTTTAAAACATAGCTAAAAAGCAGACTCAGTATGTGTATATGATTTGTGTTTTTTATGTTGAAAAGATTCAATAAGTTTTTTTTTCTTTTGGTAATCATACACTAACCACTCATATCAACTGGTGAGGAAAAAAAATGGTAGAAAATATTGTCATGCCATTAAAAAGAGTGGAAAGGGAAACGGTTGGACTAAAAACCTCCTTTAGTGGTTTTGGAATTGTGAGTCTTTCAAACGGAGGTATGCTGTTAAACTGGACCATGCTTTTAATCACGATAAGGCAAAAACAACATTCAGAATGCGTCAACAGATAAGAGTATAAAGCAACAACTTCAGGAATTTGCTGCTGTGTTTGGACCTCGTCTGATCTGCTGATGTTTTGAGTGTTTTACACGGAAGCTTTGATAGAACGTGAGGTTTTGGTTTTTGTAATAGAAACTGCACTTTTATCTTCATGTAACACTAAAAAAAGAAAAGAAAACTACGTTTTCTTTTCTTTTCTTTCTGTCACGATCTTGGCATGGTATCTGGATATCTGTGTTTAATTTGAGTTTAAGCCAATATATAAATTATAAATATATGTATAAAAACTTAGCACAAAAAGTAAGGAAATTTGTGTTTGGTAGATTATTTCTTTGTTGTAACAATGCTTCTTGACAATAAATCTTATGCACCTGACTGGCAGCACCTGAGGGTACCAGAAGCTCAAAACAAGTGTCAATAACAACAAAATAAGCTGTTTGGCAGAGAAGATTTGGCATTTTTTTCATGTGTGCAAACGACACATTCAGCTGCTCATCTCACTAATGCATGTTCCTTACAAATGTGGCACCATTTAAAAAGGAAATTAACAAACAATCTACCAAACACAAATTTCTTTATTTTTTGTTCCAAGTATATTTCTTGATCAATGGATCAGATGAGGTTGTGCATCTGTATTAAGTTGCATATTCAAGCATCTTTATTCTATCCATGCCAAAACTACTTTTCTATTGTCCAACTGAGTGCAAAAAATGTGCACTTTTTTGATAATTTACCAGCCTTTTATTATGAMTAAATGTCATCTGTTTGTGGCACCAGTTTGATTTATTTTTAGACAAGTCATGTCAGGTAGTTTGTTGCGTGCTACTAATACCTTTTCACAACCAGCTATTTGAACAGTAGCACATCTACCTTTTTAAAGCTTTGCACAGGCCAGTCCTATTTGTTGACACAGTAACATGATCTCTCCTTGATGCTTTATGCCTGAACCAAGTCCAAAAGATGCAAACAGAGCCGGAGGAAGGGGGTTAAATGGAAGACAGACCACAGGACAGCAGCAGACTAAAAGCTTCCTGTGGACACGCAGAGGGGAAGGCAGACCTGGCAGATAGGCTGGCAGGGCAGATGTTTTAGGTGAGAGGCACAGTAGATAGCACCACCTGAATAATTCATCAGATTGGACTGGAGATATGTGATATATTAAGACACAGAACACAAGCCACGCTATGGCCTCTTTCAGCACTTTTTGTGTACTCGGTGTAGCTCTGGGGCTCAGATCGCTCCACAGCGCCACTTTCTTTCTGGCAGTAATCCACCGGAGCCCCCGGGCAGCCGAGGAAGCTGTTATAGATGGGCCGGCTTTGGCTTGAGGTTTACAGAGACCCTGAGACATCTGGAGGGGGGCGGTGAAGCTCTTCAGCATGCAGGTGCAGTTKAAACTCATGAGTGATAACGCCGCTGACGCGTTCCCTCTAATTTGACTTGTCGTGATCAGTGGACCTCGGTGGTTTGGGCGACAGAGAGGTTTCAGGCGACGCAGAAATAATCTAATGGAGATAAATCACAAGCGTTGTATTCATCATTTTTGTTTGTTTGCGTTTAGGTGAAGCATACACGGCAGGCACAAACTGCATGCTGATTATAAATTTGGTAACCAAGGGGCGGCTGTGRCAGGGTGGTTAGTGGAGTCGTCTTGGAACCAATGGGTTTCTGGTTTGATTCCCCGTTCCAGGTGTCTCAGTTGTTGTGTCCTTGGGCAAGACACTTCACCCCCCAGTGCTTCTGACGTGTCCCATCAGGTTATGAATGGGATTTAAAGCACTGATTAGTCTTCACAGGATGATTTGTACATGTTAGTTTTGTAGAGACTTTGACAGTAGCGCTTTCCTCGGCGAAAAGTAAGCTCCGCCCTCTTTCCACAATGAGCGGTCCGACTCACTGAATCCTCGCGTCGCAACACCAGCTGCAGTCAGAGCMGAGAGGGGGTGGGAAACTGAAGAAAACCCACACAAGCACGAGGAGAACGCGCAAACTCCACACAGAAAGACCCCAGGTCCGAACTCAGGGATCGAACCCGACCTTCTTGTTATGAGGCGACAGTGCTATCCACTGATCCGCCGTGCCAAACTTTTAATTTTTCCACTTCTCTTTAAAAGCCTGCTTGTTTGTTTTGTCTCTGCTCCCGGGTCAAATTGCAGGGAGTCACTCCATCTTTTTGTTTGCAAATGATGAGAAGACTTTTCTGGCTTTCTGGTATCAGTTCAGAAAACTCCACTGGGCTTCGACGAACTTAATGACTTAAATAAACAGAGAGGATTTTTTGTTTACATGTGATGAGAATGTTAAGTCGCCTACAAGTAAAGAGGAATGTCACATTGTTTTTGTCTGAACAGATCATGTTTTTTCTTGCTTCATTTGGACTTACATGCAAAACAACTAAAAAAAAGATTGTTTATTATTTCCAGCTGGGTTTCGTAATCTTGGTCTCTTTTTTTTAATTTATTTGTCCGTTTGATTGCAACATCCAGYAGGTAATCCGCTTTTACTCACAGGTTGTGAAAGTAGGTGAAGATGTTGACAGAAATGCTACGTGCCCTGATAACAAAATGTGTGTGTATGTGTGTGTGTGTGTGGTGGGGAGTTCAGCTTTTAAGTAACACATCGTTTCACCTCCATCTCTCCGTGACATCATCCCACTCACGCACACAGTCATGCCTTTTGGACATGTCCGGTTTACGATCGTATCTTTAAAAAAGTACACTGGTGTGGATTTCCTCTGAAAACACATTAATCTCAAAGGTCCCTAAGTTCAGAGAATCACATCTTGCAATGCTTTTCTGCCAGGTTTACACCAAACCTATCTGAAATAGTTTTATATCATGTCAAGAATGGTGAAGAAACTGTACTGTASAATATCTGGACTGTACCTGCAGGCTGAACACTAAACCCTGTCATCTGATAGTTTGCTAATCCCCTTGTTATGCTTGTCTGGTTGAACAGAACATTCACTCAGGCATTAAATCATCTTGCAAAGGGGTCAGCGGGGCCCATAATTTTGCCTTTAGTACAGTGTAAGTGTGGAAGGAGGATCATTTTGGTGCTTTTGAGCACTGTGGAGTACAAACAACCACATTTCGACCTAAACTAGGCTGTTTGCGCTCCATCTCGTGAGAGACAAGAGCTCATCTGCCCCTTATGGTTCACCAGATGAGCCGCCCCCACAGGTCAGGTTTGGTCGTCTGGGTTTTTGGACGGTAATAATTGGAATTTACCCCGAATGTCACAGCTCTAAAGAATTCACCGAATGGCTCGGATGGCTGGGATACCAAGGCTGCATGGGGGTGACCGCTGAGGACGAGGAGGGAGGAATGTGCAGCCGGCTATTGATCTTCACTAAGTAAGGTCACTACTTGGTGTGTGTGTGAGTGGGGTGTGTGTGTGGGGGGGTAGCTGCCCCACTTTCAGACGCCTCACAATAGAGATAGACTAACCCCCGCAAAGATATTCTAATGTGGTCAATATGCCAACCAATGAGGTCAAAATTAGAAAAAAAATTGATTTGAGGTTGATGTCGACTCTAAGGATGCGTTGAAGATGGATATGGAAAGAACCAGTTTAGGCACAAGAATTAGGATTTTTAGAAAAAGTTTTAAAGTGTTTTTTGACCTACGGTGTGTTCATTTTTCTGCAGAGAAACCAAAATATCTCATAAACCAGTGGTCGGATTGTAATTAGACTTGCAGAAACTGGATGGATATCTACAAAAACTAAGTTAACCCTCAATAAAAATGGCTGCTGCAGCAAACTCAATCTTAGCAGTGGCTCAAACTCAGTTGATCTTACAGACGTTGAGCTAAAATTTGATTCATTTGTAGCTGAGAGTCCTCCTCAATACATTAACTGAGCAGTAACACAAGTACGTAACGTGTGAGATTATGTATAAAGTCATTTATAAGATTTGACCAAAACGATACAACTCCTCAGTATATTTTGAATTTATTTGCTTAAAAAGATCTGTTTTTCCAATTATATCATAATCTTTTGAGCTTGA